CTGCAGTGGTGTTTGGCTTGGTGGCGCGTGTCAAGTCACTTCCACATGAATGCTAGGATGCAAGGTTTCCCAGCAGAACATTGCATTGTAACAAGATGACCAATGTTATCCACTTCATCTGGCTGCTTGGTGTATATCCCAAGTTACTCACACTGTGTTGTGTGTGTCTGTTTAGCCCTCTCCACTGAGAATTTGCTATTTATGAACACTCTCTCATTCTGTCTCTGTGCTGTGCTTCCAGGGAGGCTCTGCGATGGACCATCTTCTCCATGCAGGCCACAGGCCACATCCTGCTGGGCTCCTCCTGCTACATCGAGCAGCTGCTGGAGGAGGAGGAGCGAGCAGAGAAGAGTCTGACGCTGCCACAGGAAGGCAGGATCAGGCAGCTGCAGAGCATGCTGCTGGGAAAGACATCCCACTGATGATGGACTAAAGCTGACGATGGTGGAACTAACACATTGTCCACTCTTATATAAAGATTTAGAGCACAGTGTAGATTGTCGCAGATGAAACTGGTGATCTCCTCATGTTCATGTCACAATTTCCTGTGTTGTTTGCAGACACTGCGATAGTCTCACAGTCACTTTCTCGCTCTGTTACATTTTTCTGCCCCGTATGTATGTATGTATGTAGAAGCTGATGCCACAAGTTATTCCTCAGAAAGCACTTTTACTCACTACTGTAACTTTTTCCTGTGGAAGTGAATAAATAAAACTAACCCTTTTTTTATTTTCTCGTTCCTGAAAGTCTGTTTAAGTCTACATACAGTAGGTCCACATGGGAGCTTAGATGTGCAGTGTGAGCCCATTAAGCTGCCTTTGTGTGTGTGTGGTTCCTGGTCAAAGTCAGTGTAATTGGCAACAGGTCCAGCTGTCTCTCCCACGCTTCCCTAATTGTCCCCTGGCCTGCACTGTCCTGTCAGCTACAGCCTGCCTCTGCCTCAGAAAATCAGAGGAAGAGAACGAAGGAAGAGCAGGCAGCTGCAAGGGGCGAGGGGACGGAAGCGAACCATTACACTGAGAGAGAGAGAGGAGAGAGCAAGATGATGGCTTCAGCTGGTGGCAGAAGTGCCACTTTTGCCATTTTGTCCTGGAAGGTGGCAGCAAAAGGCTGAGGACAGATTTTAACCAAATTGGCTGTCTGATACATCCTGGAGAGTATAAATGTCTGAGGTGTATATTCAGAAGGTCAAGAGCTGGGGTATGACTGTGGTCCACTCCCTGGCTCATCATCTGCCGGTTTCTTTTCTCTTTGTCTCGATTTTCTGTCTATAGAAAATATTATGACCAGAAAGAATAAAAACCTGGCCAGAGACATTTCTGGTTCAGTCCATGTTTACATGACATGCGATAAATACCCCACATAATATCAGCTTGGTTATTGTTTGCTTATGTATTGAGTGATATGGATGCTGTTTAAAGGTATGCTACGCAGAATTGTTGGTTACTGTTTGTAAACCCGCTCGCTAACAATAGTAAAAGCCAACCCCAGATTCACTCTTGTTTGACATTTTGCCTCGCTACATTACTGTTATTTTCAGTATGGCAGCTGGTCGCTACTTTTTTATAAAGTCCAAGCCTCACCTGAGTGCTGTGGGAATACATGCCATAAACATAGTCAACACAGAAAGCAAGAAAACGGGTTAAAACAGGCAGAGGGCAGAGTCGTGGGTCATAAGTGATGGTTGCTGTATATGAGTCAATACATTGATTTTAGGAGAATCCTGCAAAGTATATCTTTAAATGTAATGAATCATGAGATAATAAGCACATTTCCTGTTCTGTATTGGCACTGCATCAGTTACATCCTGCATGAACAGCTGTTGCATACAATGCAACCACAAGTTGAACGCTGGTCGTGTGCCATGTCTTTGTTCCCACTGAAATGAGTCATGATGTTCATGCCCACTGACTATGTTTACATGCACACTAATATTCCACTATTATTCCAAATATGACAATATTCTGAATTTGATGTGGGTCATGTAAACAACATGTTCCCTTTGGATATTCTGAATTAGGCCATATCCTGAATGTACTGTTCCGATTAAGACACATGGGATATCTTGGTATTATTCAGGTTTTAGGAGCCTCCTTTATAGACATGTATACAGCGCATTCAGAATATGCATCTCAGTTTGGTTTTTACCACATTTTGCATGCTCTTGCTTGGTTACTGTCAGAGCTGTGAGTTGTCATGGATGCGTTGCACACAAGTGAACTCACCAAAAGTTTGCAAAGCTGATGTAAAGATGCATGCCTAAAAGAAAAGCCCACATTTCTGGTTGGAATAAGAAACACTCTTACTTTTAAACATACACTACGATATCAACAGGTATTTAGATATATATATGCAAATATCACAACTCCCACCTTTTTTTGTGATCAATTTTTTATTGTAATTTTAACAAACATAGAAAACAAAGGTATGTCATGACTATGGGGATTGTAAAATTACAAAAACACATGATTTGCATACTTACAGTAAGCATACCTAAATTGAGCCCACATCATAAGAACATGTCATGAACAATAAGACATCAAATGATTAATTATAAGAAAGGATAAATAAAGCAAAATAATAGTAGAAATAAAACAAAAAATAAGCGCATACATTCATAACACACACACAGAACTAGACATCTGAGCACACTTAAGTCAGAAGAGCTAAAGGCAATACATTAACCTTGTACCATGTCTTTCAAAGATTCAGCAGTACTGTGCCAGGTGTTTAATGTTTTCTTATTAGCACCATTAATTCATACTGTTGAGAGCACCATGTAAATATGACATCCAAAAAGGAGAGGGTCCAAGCTCTGATAGTAAGAGAATCAGGTGACTTCCAGCAAGTTGCTATCATTCTTGGCTGCCATCAGTCCGACTAAAATGACTTGCTTTTAAATGCTGACCTTTTCAAGAAGGTGGTTGAAGGAGGGAAAGAGGGAGGCTGCGGTCACACTGTTGAACAAGTCCAACACTGATAGAAAACTGGAAAAAAATCTGTTTTGGTGCAAAGAAGCAAAATGGCACAAGTGGCTCCAGCTGTTCCATTTTTCCATATATTGACGTGATAAATGACAGAGTATGCTCAGCCGCATGTTAGCAGGAATATTAGGAAAGTCTTCATATTCATTAGCCATGTAAACAGCTTGGTATGATCTTTTCTGAATAAGGGTAAAAACTAGAATATTTTGTGCATGTAAATGTCCACTGTGTCTCCTGCTTTAATGTACATCTGTTATGATTCACAGTATTCCTGAATGGCATGGTTCAAGTGTATTAAATTGAAGCCATACAGTTATCTGCATTTAAATTGGTTTCTACAGATAATCTGCTCGTTGCTAGTCTGCTGAGCAGGTTTGGTAAGTGGTTTGATTTGTGTTTTCCCCCACAATATGCAAATGCTGAAAATATTAAAACCATGCTGATGTCTTGGTTGACCTCCACTGCTTCAGCCTTTCACTCATATAATGGGCCTGATGGGCAGTTAAAAAATGGAGCCAAATTGATGCAGCAGAATCAGACATATCCTGTTTTTATATCTTATCGAAACCTGGCGCCGACATCATCCACAATGCAACTCCACTGCGGAGTGTTCAGCCAGAATCATAGACTGTATATAAAGATGGTCAATGTGCCTCCAGTTCATTCCACTGTAGAAATACAAAGCCAAAATATCCCGGATACAACTACTCTTGCTCTGGTGATATCATTTGGAGGCAGGGTCTGTGCAGTAGTGATCAGGAAGTGGAGCAGCAGTATGAAATTCCCACCCACACACATTCAACACAATCACAAGCAGTGCCGTTTATCACGAGCACACTGACTGACACAGCTGTCAGTAATGACATCACGCCCCCTTTTTATAGCATCAATTAACTAATTTCAACCAAACTTAAAAGAAAAACACTTGACCATACATCAGCTTGATAAGAACTATTCAAAATGAAGGAAGCTATCTTTGGAAAAATGTGATGAATGTGTACTTTGAGGTTTTAGTTTGGCCCATGTCCTATCTGCTACCAAGGAGTGGGCAGGGGTTATGACCTTTACTGCAGCCAGCCACCAGGGGGCAATTAATGTTTTGGTTTCACTTTTAGGGAGCGGTCATCTCTCATCTTTACATACAGTCATTGGTCAGAATGCGTTATGCTAGTAGCAGCCATACACTGTATACATAATGGACATGGCTACCGTGATGTCACCCATTGGTTTGTGGACTGCTGTTTTGAAGCCTCAAGTTCAGCTTTTTGGACGTCACTATCTGAATTTTTTGGAGCCAGAAGTGACCATATTTGGACGAGAGGTTGGAGCTGTGGAGGAGCAAGGGTTGGATCTGACTCATAGACTGTGGCCTCGCAGACAGCCTATCATTAAAACAGCCCTTAAGTATGGGCTTTGGGCCTTGATAAAAATGTAAACTGGTAAGATATAAAAAAAAACATTACCCCCTGTACGGATGTGATGAATGTTGAAATTAGCTTTAGAGACCACAACCGTTTTTGTACCAGGCTGTAAACATGTTTCTTCCTGCTGTAAAGTTGGGTAATCTAAAATGGGGGTCTATCGGGATTAGCTTTGTCTTGGAGCCAGCCTCAAGTTGCCACTGGATGAACTGCAGGTTTTGGCACTTCCGTAATGGCTTCATTTTTCAGCCTTGGAGGTTGGCGCCTGGAAGCAGCTAATAAAGCATCAAGCTGCTAACCTCAAGTAGAGATGAGAAGTGGGATAGAGGTCTTGTCTTTCTCTCCACGCCCAGATGTTCTCCTCAGTCTTAAGCCCCAAGCAATACTGACTCCAGTGACATCACTTGAGGCAGTTTATTCGATTTTTTTAAAAAGCTTTTTCATATATGCATCCAACCCAGAAAAAATGCAGACTGGGGCTTTAAAGTTCTGCCTCAAAGAAAGCCCAGCATCACTGACAGGCATGGTGTAAAGCTTTCATGTGAATGACCTCAGCAGCAGATCCCTCCTCCAGTCAGCTGAAGTAATCCTGACAGCAGGGTCCTCTGTGGATCCTGCAGGAGCCTGAGCTCTTCCTGCGGACAGCCAGCCGTCAGTCCGTCCCACTGAGCTGTGTTGCTGTCAGTGTCCCCTGGTGGAGCTGTTGTTGCTGCTGCTGCTGCTGCTGCTGCTGCTGGTGCTGAGCATGTGCTCGGCTGCTCCACAGGACAGGAGCGACGCTTCCCATCAACACACAGGTTGAGGACATGGATTGCTGAGCGTGAGGCAGAGGTAAGAGTGCAGTTTTTATAAAGCATCCATGTGCCTTTGACTTTGCATTATCTCTGGGCTTTTTGAAGCAGTCGTTAGTGTGATAAAGAGATTTTAATGTAAAATTGCGCAGCCGCTTGGCAGCATGTTGGCACGCAGGTAGCTCCCACCTATCAGCCCATCAATAACTTAAAATGCCAATTAAATCATTTTGCATTTGAACCTGCTCTTATATTCAGCACATTAAAACGCCTGTTTAACTTTTGCCTCACTTTTACGCAGCGTATTTTAAATCCAATTATTCACCAAAAATCTTTATAAACTGTAAACGCTGTTTTGTTGATGCATATTATATCCAACTTTGATGCGAGGTTTGTGTGTTTGCATTCCTCCCGTGCAGTGCACAGCACCCCGCTCCGTGTGCTGTTTGGCACCCAATGCTTCACGAAATATCGATTTAGCAGAGGAATCTGGGTTTTATTAGAAACCACGGGCTGTGTGTGGGAGTAGGTGCTTGACACAGTTACGGGCTCTGAGGCTGTGTATTTCTCCCACGCTCCTGAGGGAGTCCTCACTGCAGTCCGCTGGAAACATCTCACCATGCATACTGTACATCAAAGCATGCCTGTCCGTGTGGATGGTGTGCGCTTGTGTTCGCGATGTTTTGCGTTAGTGTTTTGTTGTGTGCGCCAACAGCCCAGGGGCCAAACATGCCTTAAAATATCTGGAAAATGCATAAACAGATTTTAATTTCTTCTCACTGACCATCAGGTCCCATAGTTGATGAATTACAGCTCTATCTCTCACACCTTGGCAATGTTGGGGAAGAAACACCCAAAAACAACTTTAATTAAATGGTTAAACCTTAATCAGTCATTTAAGAATGAGGAGCATAATCAACATGCAGGACTTGCCACTGCTCTGTTAAAAAAAGACTATTCAGTTGTTTTACCCCCAAAGTTACTACAATGATGTACATTACACCTCAATATGAAATATTTAAGGTATACACTTTAGGGATTTTGTTCCTTGCCTTTCTGTTTTGAGTTATTTCATCCAAAATGTGGTTATCAACATAAATTAACCTCTAAATTAATGATTAATCAAAATCTTTATCAAAATTGATATATTTCTTTAAGACAAAATGAAAGTCAAAATACTACTTTGAATGAAATATTGTGGTTCTGCCTACACATCATATTCTACAGACTAAAGAAAACATCTTTCTTTGGTACAGATTCCTGCAAAAATCCCACCATTATGTATTAATTTTTATATTTTTTCCACAGAAATAAGAATATTGATTCCCTCTAATATCGCAAATTATATTGCAATTCAAAAATCAGTAAAAAAAATTAAATCGTCCAGCCCTGTCACTCAATCGACTATATATCCACAAAGCAAAATGCAAAGACATATCTGGTTACAGTTTCTCAGTGGTGGTAATATACTGGTTTTCTCTGTTGGTTTTGGATTATTAATTGGCAAGAAAAGCAGATAGTGTATAGTCGTCACCATGGGTCCCTGAGAAACTGTGAGTTTATTATCTTCTGACATTTTTTTAGACCACATAATTAATCAAGAAAATAACTGTCAGATTAATTGGTAATGAAAGTTATGTGGCATTAATGCTGCATGGTGCTGTGTGTTGTAAAGCAACAGTAGCCTAGCATTAGAGTTTTGATTGATGAGTAAATACGTGATATGCTGCAATGATAAGTCAATTAGTTGTCATCCATTAAATTAATCGTTGACCAATTTTTTCATCATTTAAGTTTTTTGTTGAAGTTTTTCTATTTTAAAGAGGCAACAGATAGGATTCGTTTTTTTTTTTAGCTTGGCGCCACCTAGCATCAGTGGTGTTGCGTCGCACTGTCGCAACGACCAAATTGACCGTGGGGATCAGAGATAATCAATAAAATGTAGGCTGTAAAGCCACCAGTATACCTCTATGTATATGTAGAATGAGGTGTGTGGACACTATACTAAATAAATGAGTAAAGAGACCGAGCAACAATTATCAGATTTATCTGAAGCAAAAAAACAAATAGTAACGCAAATAATTACAACAGAATGCACAGTACCAGTACAAACAACTCACAGTAAATTATACCAATATGTCCAGTATCAGTACAAACAACAGTAGACACAGTGGAATTATACCAATATGCACATGTAAACAGTCCAGATTCTAGAATAAACGGTACCGTATGGAAACGATGTGGCCAGTTGGAGCTCAAATTGAATGGGAAACAAAGTTCAGTGTTCACTTAGCTGGGCGTAACTTAGCTGGGCGATGTCCGTCGATAGCTGCCTCCATGAGAAGAGAACAGAAGGAAGGGAGGGGGGTCTCACTGTCCGAGGGCTGCCGTAGAATGGCAACAGGATGTCAGCCGACCAACGCTTGCTACCCGATCCCTGGTTGCGGCGATTTGCGATGCTGACCAGCTAGGAATGAACTAGCAGCCAGTACAGTACAGTCCTCTCTCGGCTAGCTAACATTTAGCCGTGTTACTTACTGATCCATTAGAAAGAAAGCTAGCTGGACATGGGTTTTGAAGCCTCTTTGGTCACAGAGCTCCCTCCATCTCTTGAACGCCTGACTGAGGTTTACTCTTGTTTTTCCTCTTCTTTTATCACTCTCCTTTTTGCTCTTCTTTGCCTCCTCAGACAGAGGAGCTCGTTTTCTTTTGCTAGGCCATTTTTCACTTGTCTCCAAACTATGTCCGTCTGCCATTGTACTCGTGACTCAACTATCTCATGCCCAACTCCTCATAAGGACTCGCTCCAGTCCCTGATTGGCTGACCGACCAATTTTGCAATACATGACGCGTTTCCTGCTGTAAAGCAGATTTTTTTCCACAAAATTTCGGCACCGGTGGCAGAAGCTTATTGCACAGCCACTAAGTAACCTATGTAAACGCTGATAGTCTGATTTTACTGTGGCCACTACCCTGTTCAACCCACATTATTTTCATAATGATTTATTTAGGAGAAGATGCTATCTGTTGCCTCTTTAAGATAATCAACACAAAAGACAAATACATACACAAACAGCACACACTAAACAAAAACACATCTCTGCAGTGTTCATAACAGTAATAAATCAAAAGTTCATCAGCACAGCACTAATTCTTATATCATCAGGTGACCTTTTTTTTTTTTTTTTACACAAAAAGCCTAAAACAGACATAAAAACAAAAAGGTCTCTATGATTCAGCCAAAGCAAAAGAAGCAAAAGCCCACTGGCTCCTATGACATATTTAGTCCTTTTATAAAAGACAAAAACTGATTCCAGACAAGCAAATATGATTCTCTATGGTTTTGCAGGCTGGCTTTCATTAACTCAAATGCTGCAATCTCTATCATTAACATAACCCACGCTCTATATTCTGGTTCAACTTGACTTTTCCAGTAGCGAAGGATGATTGTAATCGCAAACTAATTTGATGATTGATTAATTGGTTTGAGTATTCCTAAGAAAGGAGAATCAAATCTCTCTGATTCCAGCCTCTTAAATGTGAATATTTTCTGGCTGACATCTGAGAGTGTCTTCTTTGGCTTTGGGAAACCCTGATTGCCATTTTTCACTATTCACCAAACAACTAATCGATTAACGGGAAAAATAATCAACAGATTAATCAACAGTGAAAGTGATTGTTAGTTGCAGCTTTAGCATTTCAGAACTACCGGCTAACCTCACAGAACCAAATAACTCAGATTTATACTCTCATACAATCCATATCCTGTATCACGCAGTTTCTCTCTCAGCTGTTCGTCACAAGCAACTGTGTTTTATGTCAAAGAACAAAAGGATTAAAAGCAGAGATGTACAGAGGCACAACTAAAGACTGTAAAAGTGAAACTAAATGCAGTAAGACACAGCAGGCGAGATGAGGAGTAACGGAGAAGGGAGGGGCTGCTTGCAACAGTGTGGAGGTGGAAGAAAGCAAAGAGAAAAAGGGACAAGTCTTGATGAAAGCATTTGGGTCTGAGCTGCGTCTCTGCCACCACGCCGTCCCCGTGTTCTGCTGCGGACGGCTTTGATTGTGAACATGAAGGAGTCCTGCTGTACACACCAAGCCAGGAAGTGTGTCTGCGTGTGTGTCAATACATCATCATCATCATCCCCTCTCTGTCTTGCTGTCGCCAGCTCACACACACACGGATAAATTGTCTTCTAATTGCATCCTTCTACAGTTGAGTAACCTCATCTTTTCTCACCAAGTGGCTTTCTGTTTTGCATCTGTCAGTTGCAACACACCTTTTCTCTCTCTCGTCTGTTTTGTGCTTCTTTCCCCACTTTTCTCTGTTTCTTCCCCAAAGCTTAGGTTTTCAATGGCTGGCTATTTCAGGTCCATATTTCAGCTCAGCAATAAATAATTCAGGCAACAGGACAACACAAAGGTCCTCAGCGAGAGCCTGGATGCTTCGCTCATACCTGAATTGCCTGTAGTTTGGAGAGTCTGTCTGAATAATGGATTTGTTTCCCAATACCAAGTGTATTCTGGTCAATGACTGAAATGTCAATAGGTGCACTGGCTGCATGTGTTTTATCTCTCAGATTTCTCCTCTCACGGTCATTTAAAGAGATACATACATTAGAGTCTCCCGAAGAAGCTGAGTTTTTGCTTGACTTTACTCTCCTTCTCCTTCATATTTTCCCTTAAAGCACTCTCTGTATTTCTCCATATTTCATGCCGCCCCGCTCGCTTTCTCCAGCTGCTCCTCAGCTCCATTATGAAATGAGCCAAAAATATTTATGACTTGGACCGAAATGATAATTGGATTTCTGCATGGAAAGCATGGATGCAGCTTTAACAACAGCCACAATTAAGGGCTGTAAAAACCTTGGACAGAGGGTCAATAAACCAATCAGAGTGGAGCAGACCTCTGACCCCTGGCTGTGTTAAGAGTGTCCGGACACAGTGTGTGTGTATTTGTTTGTGTAGATCACGAGACATACAATGTTGTACATGTTGTATTGTGTAGAATGGCAATTTACTTTGTCCTTTACAAAATTTTGAATATTTTGGAGGGGATGAATGATTAAAATCAAACAGAAATTTGAATTATTCTCACTATTGTGTATGGAAATCTAAGCTTTAATGATACTGCAGCTATTATGCACTTTTTTATTCATTTTTCTAACAGTATAAAGCCTTTTTTGGACATATTTGTGGAAACAGAATCTAAGCCTCAAACCTCTGGCTGGACATTTCCAGCCCAGTAGCCACAATAAAATGTTGGTATTGTACTTTTCTGCAAAACATATAATATGTATGTTACAACTGCTCTAAAGTTATGTAGTTTGGATTATATGTATATGGGCTGAGTTTCTCATCAAGGGGAGGAGGAGGTGGATGGTGTGAAACCAAGGCAAGACATCTGCCAAGCACCAGACAGCAACAGACCCCTGTTCGAGACCACTGACATTACCAGCCGTGTTTGTTACATCAAAACCAAGTATTTAAGCCAAAACGTGATGTTTTTCATGACCCTGACAAAACCTTTGTGACTAAACCTCACCAAACCTTAGCCACAGTGTTGTAACACATTAAACTGTAGAACTGAAACATATCCGCTACATATAAAATGTACAAATTTAACATATAAAACATGCAAATGTAATATATCCAGAAACGTACAACACCAGCATTTATTTTGGCAATTGGATAGACGCTTCAGTCAACTTCTGTAGTGCGCTACTGACTGGACAACAGTTGTTTATCAACAATTACTGATTTAAGACATCTATCTTTTTACAACATTCAACGTTGGGAGGACCTGTCGTGCTCTCAGTCAACTTAAAAAGCTGAAGCTAGTTAGCATAGCTTGCTAACATTAGTACTAGTGTTGCAGCAATATACTGTGAAACCATACAATGTGGTGTGAAAAGTGATAGTTATCATCATGTGTACATTTGATTATCTATGCAACTGGAGGAAAATCTCACCTGCACATGCATCACTTTCCCTCCTTAACTGTCAGACATTTTACACACTTCCAATTTTAAAAATGGTCTCAAGTTTCCATTTATTAAAGCGTTTATTCATCCAAAACCCCCCCAAAAAATCATTGTTTTCCTTTAAAGGTCATTGTAACTATTCATACGACTACTACTACTAATAATAATGATAATAACAATAACTGTGTAATACCATACACCATGATACTGTGACACCGTGATGGTAATTGTACTGTTAAAAATCTCAATCCATTGCAGCCCTAATTAGCACTGATTCCAGCTAGACGCTACTTTTCGTCCATGCTACTTCGACACCTGCTGTAATTTCAATTTAATAAAGCCACTGAAAAAAAAAACACCCCACACATCCCACTGTGACAGACCTCTAATAAACACAGCAGGAAGTACAGACTGTGGACAAAATAACTCAACACCTCTACAGTTTAATGCAATAATAGTACAACCATGCGACAACACAACCTGATGCTTATAAAATGTTTACAACCACAGAGGAGTTGATTTAATCATTTGAAGGCTGTTTATACAGATCATTTTGCAGTACAGAGCAATCCAACACCACAAACTGTAAAATCACGGCTATGTTCACACAGTCTACCTTTTTGACTTTGAATATGATATTATTAGCTTTTCTGGCACTTAAAATCACGTCACATGCTCCTCATCAATGGATGGCTCAGATGTCATGGAGATGCACCTGTTGACATGAAGACCAAGTGATATGGTTAAAAGCTAGAGAGTGGACCTTGAGTTGGACCGACCTTGTCAAACGTCCAGCTCAAATGTATTTTTCAGTGGTCCCAGCAGGGTTTCACAATGAGGCATGTGCAATTGTGTTTCCCATAACCATGCATCCAGTGGAGATACTGGTGGTATATAACTATTTGTTTGTATTTAGAATGTTCATTACACTTTACATGATGATACTAATCTTGAAAATGGTAAACATGATGTCACTGTCCTCAGATTTCAAGGTCAGAGTCATGCCTCTGTGTTAAACGCAGGCAACCAGCTGGGAGTCAGATTCAATGGGGAATTGTTTTTTCAGCTCGTATTTGTTTTATGTTTCATCTTCTGGCAGAGAAAATAATCCCCAACATTTACAACCCTGTAATACACTCCAGGGCTGCTGCAGATGAGACTTTTGTCTTCTTTGTATTCATCTAAAGCTACAAGACCACTTAGCCTCAGCAGGTGTCCTGTTGTGTGTGTGTGTGTGTGTGTGTGTGTGTGTGTGTGTGAGCGCAAATGTATGTAATATACAGTAGATGTGTGTGCGTTGCTCTCCCAGGCCAACTGTGCTGAGGATGAGCAGTGGCCTGTGAGTGTTTTGCTCTGACATGACATTTTGTCTCCATCGTGGCGTGGTGACTTGAGAGCGTGCTCAAATAACAGCTTGACGTCTCAGCAGGACGTCTTTTTACACTAGTACGTGCTCACACATGCTGGTGGGTGTTTACTGCATGGAGGGAGTGTGTATGTTCTGTCCTCATGCTAGCTCCAGCCTTTCTGTTTTGTCGTTACTCACCCTCTCACACCGCACACAAAATCAAAAAAATATGTGTTTTTCCTCTTACTTGCGGTGCTGTTTATCAGTCTAGATTGTTTCTGATTGAGTTGCTGTAAGTAATGAATCACTGTTGGCAGGGAGTAATAAGTAAAGTAATACTGTTACTTTTGAAAAGAGTAATGAGTAGTATAGGCGGCATGCTGGTGCAGTGGTTAGCATTGTCGCTTACAGCAAGAGGGCTACTGGTTTGAACAGGGGTTTGAACCATTTTCGGGTGGAGGAGCCCCTCTGTGCAGAGTTTGCATGTTCTCCCCGTGTCAGCATGGGTTTTCTCCAGGTGTGCTTCCTCCCACAGTCCAAAGACATGCAGGTTAATTGGTGACTCTAAATTGGCCGCATATGTGAATGTAGCTCAGTGCTGCTAGGTGAGCTAGCAGTGGATGCACGCATCCTCCTGTGCAGTGATTTGGTTGGTGGGTGTAGTTATGTCTGTCCTGCACCTGCTGTGTTGTCCGACTCTCTCATCCATGGAACATGACAGAAACGTCATAAGTTCCCCACAGCTTCCCGCGGTTTAGCTGACTGTGTGATTAGATTTCCAGGCACCTTGCTGCATAACTTTGCATCTTAATGAAGAAAAACTGATTTACTTCAAACCTGTGGTGCCATGTGAACACCCATGTGCTGTGTGAAGATACAGTAAATGTAGTGGATATGCTTGCTGATACATATGTTGGTAGCTTGATGACATGTGTTCAGTGGTGACAGAAGTGCTCAGATGTCAAGGAAAAAGCTGTACCACATTGTAGAAGTCCTGCATTAAAATCTTTATATTTCACAAATGTTGCAGCAGGTTAAGGTGGAGCAAGATTAAATTACCTTATACACTGCGGGGTAGCTTAATGCTCACAAATATACAATAATTTACAGTGTTGGGGAGAAGTGAACTACATGAAATTAAACTAGTAGTCAAATTATATTTTGCAGCATGTTGCTGTAGGTCATATCTTCATAGTGATTCAAGTAGTTAAATAATGTTTTTGCCTTTTTTTGTGTGGGGGCCTTATGTACGACTTGCGGGCAGGTGGACGCTTTTTGCAATGAACTCAACAAATGGCATTTTTTGCTGGTATGTGACCTTTTTGTATAACATTTCATTATAGTTTTGTATCAGATGTACATTGTCAGTGCCATTAGTTTTTTTTACAAAGTAGCATTGCTGTTCAGCTTCCTCCCATGTAAAGTAATTGGTAGCTTACAAAACTATTCTTTTACAATAGTTTCCCCCGACACTGATGGTTTATTAGTTGATTAAATTTTATTGATAATCTAAATCTGCAAAGTACCTAAAACTGTCAAAGAATTGTAGTGTAGTAGAAGTATTAAGTGACATATTACTTAGGTAAAGTACAAGTACTTCAAAATTGTACTTACAGGGATAGTTTGCCAATTTTTAACCAGGTCTGTGTCACTGTGGTGTGGGGAGTGTGTGCAGATGAATGGTGTAAAGGTGCTCCCTATGTCACCAGCTCCCGGTGCTCCCCGCCCATCTTCCAGCCAAAATCTGCCAGATGAAATGAAACTCATTAACGATGATCCTAAATGACAGGTTTTGTGTCATGTGGTCGATTTTTGCTTATGTCATGGGAAGCCAAACCTCTCTGCAAACACTCTCCACACCACAGTGACACAGACCTGGTTGGAAATCGGCAAAGCATCCCTTTTAGTACAATCATGGAGTAAATGTACTGGATACATTCCACTGTTGCATAGGTTACAATAATAAAAACAAAATAACTGGAAATGCAAATCAAAGTGTTTTTTGGGAGCAAAATACTCTAAACCTGACTTAGATTTACTAGGAAATGTTGCAGGCAATACATAGTTGTAGTAGCAAGCACTGGATGACTGATGAAATTTGGTACAGATTAGGGGTATAACGGTACACAAAAATCACGGTTCGGTACACAAGTCGCAGTTCGTTTTTTTTCGGTACAGTAATGAAAAAAATAGACAACTATTAAATATCTTTTACTTATTGGTAACCTTATTAAAACATACCACCACAGCAGTTAACTCTTTTTACACAATTTTTAAATGAAACAAATATATATATAATCCTGCTTTTTCACATTGTTTGAATGAAAATAGAAATATAAAAGTGAAAAATAAAATCCTGCTCTTTTTATAACACATTTTTTGAATGAAAAATATAAATATACATTTCTGCTTTAACAGTTTTACTCAATTAAAATAAAAAGTATAGTGCAGCTGGTCAGCTTTAAAGCCTGCTCAGATTCAGTTTTACTAGGAACTTACGTAGCTTTCCCACTTTGTTAAAGTGCAGTAAACAAAACATGCTTATATCTAAAGTGCAGCTTAAACAATTTTACTCAACTCCAATGGCGTTGATTATTTCTTTAGTGCGATGGTCAGGGAAACGCTCTTTCTTTTTAAACGACGACGATGTCGTAGTTTGCACCAGATTGCTTTTTCTAGTTGTGCCGGTTAACGTTCAAACTCGGGTGGTGTCGCTTTAGATGCGTTAGCATATTAGACGTGTTTCCAAGTACATACCCGACCGCTGTTCTGCAGTGTCGGCACACTGCTTTTGTCTTGTCCACTTATTTATTTCCATCTTCGTATTTTACCCTGAAACCAAAGTGTTCCCGAACGGAGGACTTAAGGTTTGCGGGTGGGTCTTTAGGTTCGTCAGGCTCACTTGCCATGGGGTCCATGTCATTGGTTCGACAGCCTATTAGTCCGACTGTCCGCGGTGGTGAACGGCTCGCGGCAGGCGTATGGTGTGCCGCAACCGGCTTGAGGCGGAGCAGGCTCACGACTTATGTGTTTGTCACTTTGTTTTTCATTTTAACCCACACCATGCACAAAGTGAAAGCGGGGATTTACGGGACTCGGTCCGTCACTCAATTATGTCCGTCGGGGAACTAGATATTTTAAATGGTTCGGCTCGCAAAAACGGAATTAAAATAAAACAAAATAAAATAAAATAATATCCTGCGCCCAATAATTCGGTACAGGGTCGTGCCGAACCAAAAGTCGCGTACCGAACGGTTCGACACAAATACATGCACTGTTATGGCCCTAGTACAGATGTTTTTTTCCCAGTGAATGGTGATGACTTTGGAAGTCACCTGACTTTATCAAGGGCCACCTTTACCTTATCAGCCTCTGCTGTACTCTAGTGCATAAATGCTGACTTTAAGATTTAGCTCAAAGTAATGCTGTGCCTCAGTGCAGTTTCACATAGATGCTAATTATTTATATTTTTCTAACAGAATAGATTGTATTTATTTGTTTTAAATTACAGTAATCACACAGTGTTAGCACTCAGTAGTGTCTGGCTTTGCTGAATTTGCCACTGAGATCAAAAGAGTAACATCTCAAATACATGTTGCCAGATTTGATGATGATTTATTCATGATTTTTTTAGTGTGGTTGATAAAAAATAATTTTCCACAGTATTCCAGTAAAAATCCTACATGAAGTATAAAATGAATTCCCTATTTTCTTCTGCATTTCTGTCTTCTCGCTATATGTCACTCTGACAACCTGTAACACCGGCTCGTCTCACAGGAATAGCAAGATTATTTTCACTGTCTTTTAATCTTTGTGCTGCTGCTCCTGGGGAATGCTGATGTGACTATAGCTGTTCAATTATACATGTTATACAGTCTCTTGTCACATACTTTCTGGCTTTCTACACCGAAGGGGAAAAGGTTGAGGAGCGTCACTTATATCTGTAAAGAAGGTGGGAGCTCTGGATGTTTGTGAATTAACCCCCCTGCTGAGGCTTCGATGTACTGTTAAAGTAAAAAGAAGATCCATTATTCTATAAGATCAGTGTCTGTGTTCAGGTGTTGTTATTTAAATTTCATTGCACTTTTCCTCAACTTGCAATGATTTCATACATTTATCAGAGTTACTTTTTAAAGTCCCCTGGGAAGTTTTAATGTTTAACTTGATAATCCTGAAGAAAGCTGACATTAAACAAACTCACAAAGCCACAAAACAAGCATCTATAAACAGTTTGCATAAAAACATATTAAACATCGTAAGTCTTTACATATAAATAGAGCTGAAATGAGATCAAACCAAAGACAGAGACGCTCCTCCCAACTGAATCAAAAACAAAGGATTAGGGACAAGGACGCAGATGTGATGTCAAGTGCTGTGCAGAATGAAATGAATATGTTTACATATTGCAAATGGTAATGTGTTAAGTTTTGCATTTTGCACTGAAAATGTCAGGCGTCAGCTGTTGCCAGATATGATCAAGAATAACATCAGTTTATTATCAAACAATAAAACAAGTTCAGAAGCAAAAGGTACAGCACACGTAGCTTTAGTGTAGTATACATGTGGTTAAAGCAAAGATCCATCTACTGCTAAAGCTCACTAGTTACCATGACGCATGAATGTGCTGACAGAGCGTATTTATTGAACATGTGCATTACTTTCCAACTAATGAGCATGAACGTGAGCGTTGTTTACTCTCACGACAGTTAACTTCACTAGCACACTGTGTTTTACAGAACTCGAGGATTCACAGCACCCGGCATGCCAGCTGACATGGCAAGTTTATCTCTTACCAGTACTGCTGATACCAGTCCTTGTGAATATCTGGAAGTGTTTCATGAACAAACCAGTAGAGATTCTAACGGAAAAAATCTCACATCTCACATCCGGTCTGAAACAGCTAGTCCAAAGATCAGCCACATCGTTAACGAATATGAAACAACACATCGCATTGACGCGTCCAACCAGCACCGGCAATAGCTTTAGCCAGAGGTGTTATGTTTTCAGGTTGTCCGTCTGTACGTACATCTGTACGTACGTCTGTCCCATTCCTATGAACGTGATATCTTAAGAAAGCCTTTAGGGAATTTCTTCAAATTTGGCACACATGTTCACTTGGACTTAAAGGAAATGGCCACTTTAGAATGAAAATACAGACTGTACTTACAGACCCTCATGCTGACAAGAAGTCCAGTGTAGTTTTTAATCCACAAAACTTGTTCAGGGTATCGGAGGATAACAGCTACACTTGAAGTGGATGGAACCCACGTTTTGAAAATGTAATAAAACTCTGCTAATGCATTTCAAAAACGTCAGAACGGCTCGTCCGTCGTAATCCAAGTGCGAGTTGCCATGTAAACACAGCACGCCTGCAGGGCGTGAGAAACTATGCTATTAAAGTGGAGTAAATTACGTCTTTTCACATCAATTTTTTATGCCACAGCTTCAGGGCACTTGGATTACGACGGACGAGCCGTTCAGACGTTTTTGAAATGCATTAGTGGAGTTTTATTACATTTTCAATATGTGGGTCCATGCATTTCAAGTAGCTGTTATTCCGGCTAGCTGTTAACCTCCGATACCCCGAACGAGTTTTGTGGATTAAAAAACTACACTGGACTTCTTGTCAGCATGAGGGTCAGTAAGTACTGTCTGTATTTTCATTCTAAAGTGGCCATTTCCTTTAACAATGAACTTGGATGTTGGTTGTCAAAGGTGAAGGTCACTGTGACCTTGCATCTACCTCATTCTCATGAACACAATATCTTAAGAACACCTTGAGGCACTCCACAAATCATGTTTTTGGTTGTAACTCAAGAATTCAGAAGTTAACTATAACAAAATTTTACACAAATGTCTAATTATATTTAATGATGAAGTGATGACATTTTATATCCAAAATGTCAAAGGTCACCTTCACTGTGACATCATAATGTTCTGTAAACACTCTATTCTGGCTATGAACCAACACCACAGCTCAGGAACAGAGGGGGAGACACTGGTCAGATAATGAACTGGTGACTCTAATCTCAAGTGTCCACTCTGAAACCGTGCTGATTGTATAGATCTCCTGTGCTGATGTGTGTGAAGCATCCATGTTTTCACAGACATTAATGAAAACTGTATGTGCAACTTGACTGCTTCTCAGAGGCATACGACCACAAGGTGGTAATTCTAATTAAAAAAAGGAAGAAATTAACATAAATTTGTTGATTTGTGAGGACTGTGAAATTAATTCAAAAGTAAAATTATGAACTATAAATATGAGGCAGTTCATTTTATTCTGTGTAAAATGAGCTTTTTTGAGCTACAGGTGTTGTGAAGTGTAAACATGCACAACACTGCTTATATCAGTGTAAAGACACAGATGTCATGTTACATGCTGGAGCTATTTCTGTGCCCAACAATAATCAAAATAGTTGCCAATTAATTCAGCAGAGGGATGCACAGGAACTGGAATTACAGCAATTGTGACCAATTGACCAAGAATACTAGCATTTATTGAATAATCCAATCATTATAATTATTCTAAAATTTAAATGTTTATATTTGATTATATGATATTCATGCATTTTTCTAGGTTCCTCAGGTGTAAAGTTTATTCTTTAACCCACTGGATGAGATGTTTTTCTCTTATCTTGGAGTGCTCTCAACCAGTTGTAAAATTTTCCTTTTATCTAAGAGAGAAGCAAAAATAGGAAAACACTGGTGAATTACAGAAATCAATGGGCACTAACAAAACATGAACAGATTGTGGATACAAACAACAATATGAGAACAGGTGTGTGTATATTGCTTCTTGCATGAGGCCCATTGTGTCTTTTTTTGCATTTGTGAATGTGCTTCTGTACAAATCATCTGCTGATGGTAGCATCATATTTACCGCACAGACATGCGAGTGGTACCTATCTTCTTATCTAACCCTTGGCAAGTGTTCGCCTCTCAGAAGGATTCAAACTGGAAAAATCAGATTCAAGTGTTAAAACTCACATCACTATTCACACAGCTTCTTGGTTCTCAGCATCTTCACCTGATGTTCAGTTTACCATCAAAATGTGTCAGCGCTCTCACATTTGACCTCATTATGTTATCATCGGGTAAATGAAGAAGGTGTTGCTGAGACAGGGTTTCCACTGATGAAATGCAGATTCATTGATGTGACCTTTTCCTGGTTCTCAATATGTTAGGGTCTGAGTGAGATTATTGCCTTCTGCAGAGCTAGAAAATGGTCACACACACACAGTCACCGGGAGCACTCCCTGGTGAGATTCCTCCTCTCGCAGGCGACATAATTAGGGAGCCATCTTAAGAAACGCACCTGATTTCACACTTGCCTGCCTCTGGCTCACAGCTAGTTATCAGGAGCAGTGGAGATGCTTTTTGACGAGTTGTTATCTGGATTCAGAAATGAAAAGTGCTTTACCCTGAACCAGCCCTGAGATCACTTGGATTTAGGTTGTTCAAAGAGGGAGGAAATTCTTAATAACCAGCTTGTGGCTAAAGAAGAGAGTGGAAGAGGGCAGTGCTCTCCAGGGTCAGGGACATGAGGCACTTTGGGTCAAAGCACGGTCATATTGATTGATTTTTCACACTTCTGCTGCACAAGAATGCCCTCTGCAACTCGACCTTTTAATTCAGAGATTAAACAGTACAGAAAACCAAAGTAACTGAATTGTTTCAACCATAGGGGAAATAAATCATACCAAAAGTTTCTAAAAACAGAGCATATAATCTCAGCACAGCCAAACCATCAATCTCTACATTACAGAAAAACCTGTGCATCATATAGCTCCAGTCTCCATGAGCCTCTGTGCC